AAAAGGGAACCTAAGAAGAAGAAGCTCAGTGTGACATAGTGCATGTTGAATTATCACGAGGAAATAATTCAACAAAGGACAAATAGGAAGTGGAAATAGACGTTGCTGAGAAGGTTATATTTAAAAGACCAGCCATGAAATTGACTAAGCATTTGAAACCATTGTATGTGAAGGCCTTGGTCAACGGTATACCTGTGGCGAAAGTACTCATTGATAACGGAGCAGCTATAAACACCATCCCGTTCAGAATGATAAGGAAGTTTGCAAAAAAACAGAAAGTGATATGATTCCAACAGAAGTCATCCTCACGAGTTTCAATGGATGAGCAACTTCGACTAAAGGAGTTATGCCACTAGACATAACTGTTGGGACGACTACTAGGACCACGGTCTTCTTTGTAATAGATGGTCCTACTAGTTAGAATGTGTTACTAGGAAGGGACTGGATACATAGGAGTCGTTGCATACCTTCATCGCTCCACCAATGCTTAGTCTTCTGCAACAAATGCTCTATGAAGCAGAAGTGGGCAGATCATAGACCATTTGTTGCAGAAGTAAATTCGGTGGAAATGTTCATGTACGAAGGAAATTACGGACCTGTCAGAGTAGTCCAAGATGGAGAAGAGACTAAAATTGTTGCGCAGAGCGAAGAGCCATTTTCAGTAGATGCACTCACTGAAATGCTTAGTCAAATGAGGCCAAACATAGTGGCCCTGGAAGAGCCAGTAATTGGCAAAAAGGTAATCAAGGAATTTTAAATGAGAGGTAAGCAACAAGGACAAACAGCCGATATTCAGGCCTTCAAAGCCAAGTTATAAGTTATAATGTGTTACTACAGGATCTTGAATCTAAGTTATAAAAGAATGAAAAAATGTCCCTACTGAACATATTTACAGGGTCTAACGGGTCAATGGCTAGCCCATAGCAACTAGCTAAACGAAGGGAAGTAGATGGAGCATCAAGTTGTAGAAAGTATGCCCTTAACCACAGTCGAGCGAACCAAAGGTGCCCACTGCCATTGGGAGATGCACCATTCTTCAACTAAAATTGAAGAGAAGCCATATCTCTATAAAGAGCGGCTAAAAAGAAGGAACATACGTTCAAAGGCCTACCTTGCGCCAATTCATGCGCTATGGGTAAATAGCTCATAGAAGGATTCATACTGGGCACACAAAGAATATATTTACATAGCCAAATTTGAAAAAATGCCACACTTTCAGCATGGGAAGGTTCAGCTCTTGAATGATTATAAAGGCTTTGCATGCCTGAATAGGACTCGGTAAGCTTTTTATCAAATTTAGGGTCAACACCAGCAATTAAGATACCAGGAAAGATGGTATCTCCCAAAGGTGGAAGATTTACTAGGGCTCCAACGTTCCTTAAAGAAATGGACATTGGANCAGTGCTTGAATGATTATAAAGGCTTTGCATGCTTGAATAGTACTTAGTGTGCTTTTTATCAAATTTAGGGGCAACACCAGCAATTAAGATACCAGGAAAGATGGTATCTCCCAAAGGTGGAAGATTTACTAGGGCTCCAACGTTCCTTAAAGAAATGGACATTGGACCAAGTGGGAAAACAAATGTATTGTACTCAGAAGACCAAAAACTCAAAGCAATAAGAAAAAGCACGGGGTCGTAAATTGGGGGTTGAAGAGCGATGTTTAATAAATTTGAAATCCTAGCACGATCAAAAATCGTCTTGGTAGGGCCATGATTTACCAAACATGCATGCTACCTACGAACAACATCAGTTTTGGGCCAGGTGCAAATACCTTTTTCGCGAATCGGCCTTAGTGGCAAAGAATTCAGAAACGGAGGGCCTTGAGTGCAAAGGAACAGCTGACCCATCGCCGCTTGTCCTACAGCTTCAGCATTATTGAACGATAGGCCTAGATAGAACTCATTGAGGTCGACATTAGCTTGTGCAAGGAAGTTTGAATTTCTATACGGTCTGGTATGGAGTTTTTGGAAATCCTCGAAACTGAAAGAATCATCGGCATGAATTTGTGAGTCACCATTGAATACAAAGTACAGTTTCGGTGAGATTTGCCTAAAAAACGTAGCAGAGAAGCAAGAAGATGAACAGTAAACAGTGAGAAAGAAGCGCGAAAGATATAGACGTGGTTTAGTGGGACGATGAAATGGCATGTCTTTTTGGTTTATAGGGACGTGTAACGATTACACCTTTTCAGATTTAAGACAGGTTACAGCCAAACAGAAATAATGATTGAAATTCTTGGGAATTTCAAATATTGTCAAAAAATACAAAGGAAGAATATGGCA